TAACCTGGAAGTGAGCCAGGATCGGCTGAAGAGCTTAGTAGACAATCATGCCAATAACCGGACGTGTAATGCAGGAGATTGGGTATTTTTGAAATTGTCACCTTGGAGAGGTGTGGTACGATTTGGAAAAAGAGGAAAGCTAAGTCCGAGATACATTGGACCTTATGAGATCACTGAAAGAATTGGTGAAGTTGCCTACCGGTTGGAGTTGCCTTCGGAGTTGTCTAAGGTCCATAATGTGTTCCACATCTCTATGCTTCGACGTTATATTGCTGATCCTTCTCATGTGATCCCTCCTCAACCGCTAGAGATTAATCCGGATTTGACATATGATGAGGAACCAGCCACTATCTTGGATTGGAAAGATAAGGTTATGAGGAACAAAGCATTGAGGTTGGTGAAAGTTTTATGGAGGAATCATTTAGCGAAAAAAGTTACGTGGGAGACAAAGAATCGGATGAGAGAAATGTATCCCAGATTATTGTATGTTTATTGGTGGATTATGATTATATGAAATTTCGAGGACGAAATTTTATAAGGTGGGTAGATTGTGACAGCCCGTCCCAGAAATAAATTACGGATGGCGTGAAAAGACGATGTTGCCCTTGGACGTTGAATTTTTCGTGGTAAGTGTGTGTGGTTAAAATTATGGAAGTGGACCAAATAGATAAGTTCCTATTAATTTGGAACCATTTGCAAGTGAGGAGATAATTGGTTTTGATTCGATGTACAATTTTGGACCACACAACCCTATCATTTCTCTCTTACTCCCGTACCCTCTCTCTCTCACAGAACTCTCTCTCTCTCTCCTTCCTCACGACTTTCTCAGTCTCTCTCTCACCCTCGGGTGTTTCATCTTAGTAATTGTATTTTTAAAGCTTCCGAATTGTGTAAATGGTTACGTCACTCTCACGTAACGGCCAGCATGCCCTCCTTGGAGACGGGGTGTGTCAAATATTAGGGCGACCAAATTAACCAAAATTTTGCAAATCAAATAATGTGGATATGGATGATTGGATTATTATTTAAAATGTTGATTAACATGCTTATTCTCATTGGTGACATATCATTTAGTTTGTAAATTTGGTTTAAAAATTTGATCTCCCTAGCATTATCTTTTTTAGCCTGTCCAGTATAGGGGTGCTACGCCACATGTTGTTATACAATTAGAGGAAATAATTTTTTTTCACAAGTGTTCCACCAATTATATAATGACATGTGTTATGCTTCATGTTCTAGACACACTGAAAAATCTCTTGTCTAATAGATCAATTAAAAAATCAAGTCAACAAATGTTAGTTGCAACTTAAACAATTCATTTTCTTTTTATATGAATGCACGGAAACTTCCATGTAAGTGAAAGGTGGTTTGATCACTAAAATGAAATGTAATGCTAGAGAGACTAAATTTGTTGATAAAATTTTATAAATTAAATACCGTTGTGACATTCTGAATCACTAACACAAAGTCGTGGAAAGAGTCTTAGAACATGTTTACCACCGTTGTGACGTTCGGAATCACTAATAAAAGGCCACGTGAGAACTAAGAAGAGTCTTACTCATAACTTCATATTAATTACCAAAGTTAATACGATGATGGTGAACCTGCTGCACCCAAGCGTACTCCCTACCAATCTTTGACTACTGATTCCATGGATATATATCCCTTGGCTGTAACATAACTGACTTGTCACACATGGCTACACCTCCTGTTTTGGAGAGATTTTTTTTCAATGTGCCGGGAAACACGACTTCATACACTAAATGTAATAATACAATTGATTGTAAACTTGAAAAAAGAAATTCAAACAATTGTATAATAACACTTAATATACCGAACCATGTTTTCAACTCACTGAAAATTTTCTCCCCTTTTTGTATCTCCTTGTCCTTCCAGAATTTTTGCTCCCTGTGACAATAGAATGTCACCTGTCTGTTAAATACCAATCGCAACTCCTTACTTTGAGGAATAATATATTATGATGCAATCGCAAGGTCATATTTTCTCTCAGGATTGTATGCCAATTGGTCGACTCCGGAATTTGTTCCAACCATTATTTCACACACAGGTACATACAAATATATTTGGATGATAAAATCCTCGAATCAAGGGGTTAATTAATTTCGTTTTAATTAGATTAGATAAATCTTAGACTAAATAATATTGTAGGTCCAAAATTGTTGTTTAAATGCCGTTTTCATCGTTAATATTAATTCATTACAAAATACACTTGATAATGCATTCAGTCGTCATTGCTGGCTGCTTATGAAACTTATAAGATTGGACAAGAATTGTATGCCCTCCTGTTTTGTGTGGTCACGGTTAAGCCACGTCAACATTTTATATTATTTTTTTATAGAGATAATAAGACAAAAATGAATAATAATATAAAATGTTGACGTGACTTAACTGTAACCACATAAACAGGAGGACACGGGAGGGCAGACAATCCTTGTCCTTTAAGATTAAAGATGACAAGACGCTGAGTTTTTAGATTGGAGAAAGGGCGCGTCATGTGTAAGCAAGATATAAATGTACAAGGCAATAATACAAATTAATACAATACGATTTGGAAGGAAGAGGATTATCTCCGGATCTACTTTGTGAGGATCCTAGGAATTCTCACATTCTAACCGTTCATCATATATTGTTCGGTCAGTTTTCATCAGGTACAATTTGTGTTTAATTTTAAATAAAAAAAAAGTCAAATGATTTCTGACCGTATGATGCACGATAAATGATTAAGATATGAAGAACCCTAGGATCTCCACAATTTGGATCCGGATGGGATCCAAATCCATTTTGAAAAATACTTGTGTTTGTTTATGATTAATGCGTCTTTATTCTACGAACATAATAATCTAAACTATTCATTTTTTTAACATTAAATAAAACGGGGAGAACAAGTAAAATCCCCGTGGAGAAACACGAGCATTATCCATAGATTTCCATCTTATATATAACCAAGATTTTGTATTGGGATTATACTTACATCCACTTCATGGGTACGCCACTTTGTTCATCTACTACGATTAGCATATTTTATCATAAAAATTGATTAATTATTATTTAAAGATCATATTTAAAAAAAAATTAAATTAGAAATCGTTTTAGTCATTCATGTACATCCACTTCATGATAAACCTTTCATTTATTCGAAAATATAAATGACTAAACATTCTCTAGTTTGATTGATTTTTTTTAAATAAATGAACTACAGAGGACATACAAGAAAATAAATGGGTAATGTTAGATAGACTAAATTTATAAACAAAATTTTGTAGATTAAATGATATGAAAGTTGATGATTGGATTATTACTTAAACGTTGATAAACGTGTTTATTTTTATTGGTGACATATCATTTAATTTACTAATTTTGTCAACAAATATAGTTTTCCTAACATTATCCAAAATAAATGGCTTTCAATATGAAGTTGTAATCTCAATTGGTGGACATTGTGTTGTCCCATAGGGCTACTGGCTCAAATTTCGAAAGCTGCTCAAGATTTCTTATAACCATGATTAGAAAAGATCTGGATTGTCTGCCATCCCCCATCCCCATCCCATACATTTTTCATCCCCTCTTATTTATGTGGTTACTGTTAAGCCACGTCAATATTTTATATTCCTACTGCTTTTTGTCTTATTATTTATATAAAAAAAATCAATATAAAATATTAACGTGGTTTAATCGTGATCACATAAATATAAGGGAATGAAAATAGTATGGGACGGGGAGGATAGACAATCCAGGTTGGATTAGAAAAGCTTCCAATCGGTTTCTTCTTATGTCATTTATTTGACGAACCAAAAAGTGGTGTCATCGTAGTTTTCATAATCTCTCGTGAACAACAACCTAAAATCTTTAGGAGCAATTCAAGGGCTAAGAACTTAAACTTGCATGAATTTGTGGATTGATTCGTCAGGTTCTGATCGATCTACTGATCACAATCAACCAACTTTTGGACCACTCGCCAATCGTTTTCTGGTATATGCATGGGTTTGAATTTTCAAAATTAAACAAGAAATTGGACGGTCCACGTCGATGACTTGTAAAATGTGACCGGCTATAGCACTAGTGTACATATTTGAGTAAATTATAGCAATGATCTCTAAACTTTTATCAAATTGAAGCAATGGTCCTTCAACTAAAAATCCATTACCATTGGTCCCTCAATTTATCAAAATATGTAAATATAATCATTTTCATCAATTTCATCAAAATTTTGTCAAAATAAGTTATGTTGGAATGATCATTTATACAATTAGGATCCCTCAACTCATCAAAATGTGTAATTATTGTCATTTTTGTCAACTACGTCAAAACTTTTGTTAAAGCGAGTTATGTTGGAAAGACCATTGCTACAATTGGGTTAAAGTTAAGGGACAATTTCTCCAGTTGAATTAAAGTTGAGGGACTATAGCTACACGTTTTGATGAGTTGAGGGATCAATAGTAATTGATTTTTAGTTAAGGGACTATTGCTCCAATTGAGTTAAAGTTAAGGGACCATAGTTATAATTTACTCTACTTATTTGGGAGAAAATTTTAATTGTGACGGGAACACGGATGGTACACCGCGTGTTTTTACGCAAGTGGTGGAAAATTTTAGTTATTAAAGCGGGAGCCTTGTGCACTGGGTACGACCTTTTTTTAACCTTTTAACACTCATAACTCACCATTTATATAAGGACACATGGTGTACCATCTCGTGTGACGGTCACACTAAAAAATCTCTTCTTATTTGGACCCTTCTTAATTACTTGTAAATTTTATTTCCTTGCTTAATTTGTGGATTTGGGAGTGAGACTTTCCAACCTCCTCTCTCTTTGGCTTCGCCATGCACATGCAATAGATCATATATATATATATATATATATATATAGATCTCTATGCTGATATTATTCTTCTATATATATGATCCGTGATCCCAATATATATAATTATTATATATGTATATACATATATATATATATATATATATATATATATATATGTATATATATTGTACGTAACGTTTGACCTTAGCTAGCAGCTACATGCGATGGAAAGCATGAACCGTGGAGGAAGTTTCTCCTTCAGCTGCTCCGAGTCTGACTTGAACTTTTCTTCCCTCTCACATTTCACCAACGACGACGACGAAGACGATGAATCTTACATCGAAATAGAACTTGACCATCACCATGATCACCCTAAACCATCAAGCCAAGAGGATGATGAGGAGGAGGATGAAGATCTTGGTCGTGGAGGACTAGACCGTGCGGATTATTTGCGCATATCGTTTTCGTCTAGTCTTCTCCAGGAGCTCTCCGCCACCAACCTCCCTCCCAATCACGACTCTGAGGCAGCTGATCACCCAGTAAACCAGATTCCGTCGTCGCCAACGGTGTCATATTCTTGCCCTCTGAGCTCTTCTTCCATGGAAGGCAGCTGTAGGAATCCGATAGGATTGGATGAGCCTTCAAGGCTCCGCAGAAGTACTAGCGCAAAAGGAAGATTACCCAGAGTCAACCGGCTAGTCAACACGCTGCTGTTTGGTCTCCGGTCATCATCAGAGTCGCCTACCCCCGCAGACGACGCTGACCTGGCACGTAGCAGGTATGCTATACTAAGAAACAACTAAACCATGTTTTTGTTATAATAGTAGTTAGTCTTGTTGAAAATTATGCACCAAAACTATAATATATGTACTTGTTAGTATAATATTATGTAACAGTCATATCATAATAGCATATGGACATGGTGTTACAAGGACTTACGATACTTGAACATTTTTCTTGAAAGTAAGCGTTCTTACATTTTTGTCAATCTTATTTTGATATGTGTATATAAATTTTTTTGTTGTTGTCTGCATATGTATCAAAATATGATTTGCAAAAGTGAATAATAACTTAATCGTAAAAAGAAGCTAGATAATATATATGCCTATATATGTGTAAACTATGATTTGTAGTAGTTATATCTGGAAGTTTAGAAGTTTTTATATATGTGTTAAGGTGTTAGTTTTATAATTTCTTTGAGTTCGTAACACCAGGTCTTCGCTGGAAAATGAATGATATTTGATAAATAATTTAACTAAAAAAACAAAAACTAATATCATACATAGATTTAATATCTTTGACTAATTATTATATGGCATGTGTTTGCATGAAATTAAAAAAGGAAAGCATCAAACATCAAAACCTCAATAAACGGTGGCCTCATGAAGTTTCTCTTCAAGTTCCGAGCCATGAATCTTGGAGCACTGGTAGCTTCATTTGTAAAGCCCCGCCAAGTTGCTTGTGACGATGACGATCCTCATCAATCCCAAAACATTAATTGTCGATGCAAGAACAAGAAATCGAAGGAGAGTAGTAGCAGTACTCTTCAATGGTTGGTTCCAAAGAAGCAAGGGAAAAGCAGCAGGACCAAGAACTCTTCAGAAGCAGTAGGAGGAGGTGACAAGTCCAGAGTGTTATTGGAGACAAACTTGAGCGCAGTTAGAGGGGTTTTAGAAACAATAGGAACTAGCATGAGCACAGGCATTGGTCGCAAAGAAAGAAGAACAAGGAGCTGCCAAAGTTCAATTAAGTCTTCCCCAATTCACCAAGGATTTACAAGTGATGACCATAGTAATAAGGTATATCTTTATACAAGAGAAACCTCAATTCAGGCTGCAATTTCCCACTGCAAAACTTCATTTGAACAAACATCCATATCCTGATTAATTTTGGCTTTTAACGTGTATATATGTGTTCGTTTCAGTATTGGTTTTAGTTTGGTTCACATGAATATTTTGTTGTACAAACGCTTCTAACAAGATCTTATTGTCGATGGTTCTTCCTTGACAAGGTTAAGGCATAGAGAATGTACCCTTTTCACTATATATATGATGCACGTCTATTCTAAAGTTTTTCTTAAATTTTAGTAATGCCTCGTGAATTTTGAACCTTACACAATTCATTTGCTCTTGGACTTTCAATTTGGTTTTGAGCCCCACTGTTTCTTTTTTCCTCGTAGGGTAATCTTTTGAAATTGTCCATTTTTTCCCTAGTTACCATCAAATATGTAAACTTTAAGTTCAAGGAGGCCCCTCAAACGTGCAAGTAGGCACATTCATAAAAAAATTTGGTAAATTAGATTTTCAGGAGAAATCCACTTTTAGTAAGACTTGATATGAAGCACGTTTTAAAATGTCAAGGGAGATCAAAACAAAATTGAAAGGCGATAGAGGTACATTAGATGAAGTCCATAACCATAACCCATAGGGCATAAATTGATGGGCATTACTAAACTTTTCCCTAATGTGCGGTAGTAGAAATGGTGAAGAGTTGTACGGTATGGTGGGAAATAAACAAAAAGGTAAGGAGTTTAAGAAAAGAGGGTGGATTCTTTGTTGCTCAAATTAGCGAGGGGTCGCCGAAAGAAAATCCAATTGGGTGGTGCATCTGAAAAGGATCTATTACAAATGATACTTGAAAGTGTTAACTATAGTGGCGGATCCAGGAAATAATGTTTGGGGGGTCAACAAGAATAGGGCGCGCAGTGCGAAATTTTTTTTTAACAAAAACGACATGCATATCGTCATTTCATCGGGTCTTGGTAGGATAGCGTGATCAGCCTCTCGCCGATAGTTACCATACTAAAAGGTGCCTTCACTTTCCCTGACAACCAAAAATAAACATAAAATTGGGTTGGATGGTTCATAATAAACATAAAATTCTGATGTCAATATGGTGGTTCATAATAATATTTTTTAGATCATATTAATTTATGTTGAATATAAAGAGAAATAAAGTTGTTAAATATGTGGATGTGAAAAGGGCACACACATCATTACCATTAATTTATGTCAAATATGTGGATGTGGACGCATGGGAACTTTGCAATCTGCACCAAGACTTAATGGTGACATCTTCAACTTGACACACGAACCGAACTGACAGGCTATGGCTTTTTACACAAAGCAAGCAATTTGATGCTAGCTGTACAAATTTGATTGGAGAGAAACTAAGAAAAAAAATTAAATAAGAAGAGTGTGTGGTCACGTGGTGTGAAAGGAAGAGAGAGAACGTCTTCGTCTTCCTCTTCCGCCAAACCGAACGAAAACCAGAAGAAACCCAGAAAAATGCAGCAGCTCCAAGAGGTCGCACCAGCAGCTTTAAGGGGTCGCACCAGCAGCTCCAAGGGACCTCTAAGATTATTTCCATGGCTTCCAAGGGGTCGTGCGACCCCATTGACCCCACTGTGGCTCCGCCTCTGGTTGACTACATTGCAAAGATGAAGGATTTGTACAGAGAAAGAGGAAGAAGGCAGAGAGAAACAAGAGAGATTCTAGAGAGAGAGAGAGTGTTTAGAGAGAATAGGAATTGTATTGATTGAATGAATATTTACAACTATGAGACAACAGTTTATATAGCCACATTCTCAACTGTCTAACTAACTATTGTTGAGCTAGAATGATATATTCAACATCCCCCCTCAATCTCAACTGGGATCCCCAGGTTGAGATTGAATGAATGCTGCAGAACAATGAAATCCTTCTTGTCGATGTACTCCTAGCCCTGCTCCCATCATCAATTAATCCTCCATGGCTGCAAGCATTGAAAAATTACTCAAGAGCAGTGTTATTTCATACTCATCAATCAACGTCCCAAAGAATTTCAGCCCCTCAAACTGATTCACCGCTGTAGCTACCAATGCCCTTTCAACCAACTGGTTCAGGTTTACATCTGTCAAATCATATCCAACTATGGCAGCAGATAGTTCCACAACAGCCGTGGCAGCAGCAAGGATATATCCCAAAACTTGTCCAATCTCCACTTCTATGGTGAAATCACATCCATCTAGTCTTCAACAGAATCAACAATCTCCCATTCATCAGTCAACACAATCTATGCTTCAGCAGCATCCACAGTCATAAAACAACAAGCTTTACAATCACAGAAATCAAGAAACACAACCCTCTTCGGCAACCGGCCTTTAATGAAGAAAGGGAACAAGAACTGCACTCTGGCAATCGACCTTAATGGAGTTGCACACAATAACGACAAACAAAAACTATTTAAGAACGTTACTCCGGCTATCGGCCTTTAAGGAGTAACACACAATATCTGAAACATAACTTTTCACTCCGGCTATCGGCCTTGTGGAGGAAACAAACAACTTACACACACTTCTGGCTATCGGCCTTTCTGAAGTGGGTCATAAAAGGGAAATGGCTATTGGCCTCTCTATCCCAACAAACACCTCATTTGTCTACAATTTTCATGATTTCAACACTTATGGCTATCGGCCTCTAACAATTATGCAATTTGAAGCAAAGAACTTTGACTGCGACATTCCATCAAACACATAGAGTGCAAGATAAAAGAATATGACATTCTGCGAACCTTGAATCTGTACCCCAACTAGAGAAGATATGAACGAAGATATTCACCTCTGTTTCGATCAGAAATCAAACATTTTCTTACTGAAACATTTAATCAAATAGATGATGTGCACTGTGAAAACCAGAAATCAAGAACCTGATAAGAACTTCAATCTTGAACAACAACTAGACTCTAAGAACTTCAATAACCATACCCAAATCCAGTGCAAGTTCAGTGAAACATTATGAAAAGAAGAAGCAGAGAACCATACCAAAATCTGCAGAAAGAGCAGAGAGTGAGACCTTTCTGCTCACATTGCGAAAAGGCATGGAACCCGAGCAGTGTCGTCGTAAGTTCCATGGTACCCTTCCAGATCATCTTTGGTAATTAAAACTGCATCTCCTGAGGGAGAACATGCTTCGAACCCACCAATGGCTTGCACCCAGCAAACCCAGCACTTCTATTTTGACCTGAAGGATCAAGATCCATGCACGAGGTTGCAGAACCATATCCTGAGGAAAATCCGAACTCCGACGAAGCAGCACCAAATTCTGAGGAAAACCCAGATGCACTTTATTTCTGAAATCACCGACTACGCATGGAAGATGAAAAATCCAGATATCACCGACAATTTTTTTTTTTTATAGCCCAAACGAAAAATCAACCAAGAAGTGACAGGACAATCGCGGAAGCACCGAAGAACTTTGACAAAATTTCTATGAAAAATTTGAGTAGAAAATTAAAAAAAAAACTAGAAAACGATGAAAACTAATGAAACCCAGAACCACCATAATCCAAGGCGTAAGCTTGGTGGCTCTGATACCATGTTAACTACATTGCAAAGATGAAGGATTTGTACAGAGAAAGAGGAAGAAGGCAGAGAGAAACAAGAGAGATTCTAGAGAGAGAGAGTGTTTAGAGAGAATAGGAATTGTATTGATTGAATGAATATTTACAACTATGAGACAACAATTTATATAGCCACATTCTCAACTGTCTAACTAACTATTGTTGAGCTAGAATGATATATTCAACAGAAAGTGCTACTACTAGCACTGAAATGCCTAGCCATAAAACAGACCAATTTTTATTCTGGATAATGGCAGAACTATCAACTTTGCAGATATGAGACCACTGCACTTGCAGCATCCTAGACCTTAATGCTATTGGCATTACAATTCGAATGGCAAGAACACATTCGTGCTGAAATTGTTGAGGTCTGAAGGGATGTTGATTAGCTGCATCATTGCTTGCAAGACGTGGATAAATTGGGGTTGCTAATGAGTTTAAGCCGGAGAGGTTTGCAAATGGGGTCTCAGAAGCATGCAAGTATCCCAAGCATACGTAATCCATTTGGTTATGGAAGTCGGTTGTGCATAGGCCTGACTTTTGCCATGGTACAACTGACGATAGTTCTCTCCCACATTCTGTCCAAGTTCTCCTTTTTCCTTTTCTCCAAATTATCAACACCCACCAGTTTATAAAATGTTGTTGCTGCCGGAACATGGAATCAAACTGTTCGTGGCTAGAATTTCTGTCGGGAATGTCTCCTAGCCGACGAGCACACAACTTCCCGAGAGGTTGGCGCCGGTTGATGCTTTCTGTCGGGCTTCTGCTTTACTGGCGGGCTTGTCGAGTAAGGCTGCAAGAGAAGGACATAGTTAACTTTGAAAGGTGCCTTTGTGGGGCCTTAGGTGTAGGCCTTAAGGCTCACAATCAAGATTAACTTTTAAGTGCTCAGGCGTGCCACTGCTATCTTTAGCATGGCCGATGTAAAATGGATGTTGAATTTTAGTTGCACATATACCCGAGCGACCGTGTTAGTTATGACGGGTGCCTTTGTGGGGCCTTAGATGTAGGCCTTGAGGCTTCCGATCAAGAACTAACCCAGTACTCGAATATACGATGCCTGTTTTATTGTTTGCAGAAGTGTTATAACCATTATACTTCTGATTATCTGAACCCGTAGAGCAGAATGAATACAAATAGATGCCTTTGTATGGCCTCAGATATAGGCCTTGAGGCTTCCCATCAGAATTCCTTCTATACTCAAACGTTCTACTATAATCATAATGTAATAGAAATAAAACTAAGAAATAAATCGATTACTTGCACCCCAAGTAACTTCGGACTTCTTGTTATCAAAGCTTGTCGTGGATGGGTTAAGTCCACATAAGGTTTTTTTTCTGCCTTGAGACCAAGGACTTTTAAATGATCAATTTTACATGCCCGAGAGCTTAGAACTTAGATCTGGTTTGAACTGTGAAGACATATTCAAATTGGATTCCAGCACTGAGAGAGTCTTTTAATAGTCATCTTACGAGAAATAACTTGAATACAACTGGAAGTATACAACATATTGCTAGGCTAATGAATGACAAGACAAAAACAAAGAGGTTCAGGCAAGGTTTAACCTTGTCGGGTAAGGCTAATCGTCTTGCAATTTCCTATCTTTGTGGTTTATCAAGGGGTTTGAGCTTTTAGAAATGGGGGTAGGGAGATGAGTTTACAGAAAGAAATCGATACTACAGCAAGCTTA